ACCTACTGCCGATAAAGACAATTTTACTCACGTTTCAAAGTAGAGTTACTCAACCGCTGAGTAAAACATGCCAATTACTCAAAGTGTGAGTGACTTTGCTCGCAAAATGAGTAATTTGACTCAAATTGAGAAGTGGATTTTTTGCAGTGTATATAGAGCTTACCAATGAAGCATTCAACAAAAGATAAACAAACCAAAACAAAGCCTTATTAGTATATATAATAAAAAATTCTTCCCACGAAAGAAAGAATTCTTCGTGGATGTGATCATGTTCTAAGTTGGATAGACAATAATCACGTGTGTTGTGTGGGATATAGACTCCCTCGAATTAGTTAGACAGCTATCTAACTAACAGCCATTTAATTAACTTAATTCTCGGGAGTCTATATCCCACTGAACACACATGATCATTGTCTATCCTATACATAGATAGAACGTCACAATTGTGTGCTTGTTTTGAAAAAAAATATGCGAGTATGCACCACAGAAACTATTCTATTTTCTTTCCCATATAGTCTTTAATATTTGTAGCTGAATTTTGTTTTGATTGACAAGTTTGGGTATTTTTTTCTTGAAGTTGAACTGTCTGTACACTGGTAGGTGGTACCAATGTGAACTTGCTGTGCTTAGTGGTTAAAAAATAAGCAGAAACTCAACGTTTCGAGTGAAGGCCCTTCGCTACTAACTCTTAACGCTACGACTAAACCCTTCGCCTTTCGTCAAGAGTTAGTAGCGAAGGGCCTTCACTCAAAACATTGAGTTTCTGCTTATTTTTTCAGGTAGTAATATAACCACGCAGCACAGCAAGTGTAGTATTTCGCTAAGTTTTGGACGCGTTGATTTTTGACAAGCACCAAAAAAACAAAACTGCAAACATTGTTGATCTCTTCAATACTGCTTCTATTCCTGACAAAAAGACACATTTCAAAGTACTTTTACGAATACTGAATTACAGCAAAAAAAGTTGCTTTGTCTAAGTACATTTGAGAGCTGAAGAGATCGAAAATTGACTATTTCATCAAATGTTCCGTATGTGTGAAACCGTGCAAGACGAATGCCATGTCTAGCATTGCCATATATCATTGCATTATAAACGCAAACAAAAGAAACAGAGAAACTCATTGAACAAAAGATCTGAATTAATATCAAAGTGAGACATACAAATAAATTTTATGCCTGCAATTTTATTAAACCAGGTTCGGTACTTTTAAATTCAGTCAGATTAAATCGACTTAAATGAGTTTCAAACACGTATAAGAGGAGGAATACAACTTTGCTTTATTTTTTTTTCAAAACACGAACCCGCCAAAAATCCCCCAGGTGATTCCACAAGGAACCCAAAACAAAACCAACTAATGTCAACATGTAATTGTTCAGAATAAATTCAGACACTGATGATCGCCCTCGGGCGTGAAACTCTGATTTTAACTGTTTTTAGCAATCTTAGGGAAAGCTTCTTATATATACAGCTAATTCAAAAACAGGTTTGTCCTTCAAAAACTTAAACATTGAGCGATTAAGGGATGATTGGTAACTCCCTATTTAGAGTCTTATAATCTGAAAACTTGCTTTGCAACAATGGGCATATAATGAACACTTTCAATGTAGGGCTGTTTGGTTCACTAAAGTAATGTCCAATCAAAGGCTCCAAATGAGCAATACCCACATACCTTGTGCGCTCAATGTTTAAGATTTTTGAAGGACATATATGATCTTTCCTAAATATTGTTATGACGTTCAGTTTTTAGTACTAGTTCATGTTATGCAAATGATTAGTGATCATTACTTCACGACTGCTTTAAGGTGATTGGTTAATTTTAGATCCCATTGTCTTTTCCACCAATCAGATTAGTTTGTTACAGATTTTTGCACTGTTGTTACAGATTTTTGCACTGTTACAGAAATTAGCACTGTTCACTGTTGTTATAGAATTTTGCACTGCTATTCGAGATTAATTGCACTGAAATCAACCAATCACAGTCGAGTAATATTTTATGTATATTATTTGTCTATTAATATTGACGTTAAGCATTATCAATGTATAGGCTTGTATATTTTATGAACTTTATCTATCTTATATTAATTTTATATGCTATGAAATTAAAGAAATGAAGTTAAAAGTATATGCTATAAAATGATGTAATGATATTCAACTTTAAATATTTACAATGAATTTTTCATTCAGCATTGAATTATCAACATGCATGTTTGACAACATGCAGGGCAGCTGAACTATATGGGCGGTTGAAGCAAGCGTGGGGCGGACTGACTCCCCAATGACTTTGTTAGGGGAAATTTGTGACATGCATGCATGGCCTGTCCTAATAATTTGTTTTTTACAAAATTAATTTACTGCTACTATACTTACAATCAACTTTTTCTAACATACTGACTGTGCATTGGTGTCTTGAAAACTAAATCTCCATAAACCTAAGAACCTGAGGCAGTAACACCCAAAAACTAGCATGAAACTAAAACCCCAATAAATTTGTTTGATTATCAAATTACCCTCGATTTTGCCGCAAAACGACCTGCATAATGTTATTAATTAAATTACACCCTGACCCTTCCCCGACCATGCTTTTTCCTTACCGCCAGTCATCTGCATGGAAATTTCAAATCTGAAGAGTGGAAGAACTATTACTATCTGTCCCTGATGTATCTGTCGTATTTGGTTAGGGCTATAGCCACAGATACAAATAAACCTAGATTGCACATCTCAGTAATCCAGTAATCAAATTTTGAAGTCACTCGCCGGTTGGTACTCCAGGATTCAGTGTTCTGATTGGCTAGATGCAGTCACTGAGCTATATATTGCTATATATAGTTCAGTGAGTATATGAATAAGATCAATGAAATGAATATAACTGAAACGCTACTTTCAACCGGAAATTTGAAGCCAAACATGAAGGTCAGCCCTAGTCTTTTCACACATGTGAAGAGCGCTTGATTAGGCAATGATGATATAAACACGCGACATTTGACCCCCAGATTTGTTTTCAATCTCAATTTATTATGTCGGTAAACTTCTGCAGATCACACCAACTTTGAAAACTACAGTATATAAATAAACTAATTAAAATATGAACAATGTCAATACATATAAATATGTTTAAAAGGTTCCAAGTTAGCTAAAATTCAATATAATACATTTAAAAATGATACTTAGTTTCGTTTTGAATTCACCTAAAGAACTTGAGAGGACTAGTTCAGGTGGTAGCTTATTCCATTCTCTGATAGTTCTTGGGAAATATGAATATTTAAAAACGTCTTTAGTTGCCTTAGGAATTTGGTATTTCAATGGGTGGCTGCCATGTGTTCTAGATTCTGGGTGTAATTTCAAATACTGATCGGTGTTAAAATCTAGAAGGTTATGACTTATCTTGTACATCATTGTTAATCTTGATTCCACCCTCCTCTCTTCTAATGTCTTCCATCCAAGCGTGTCCAACATACCTGTAACGCTGGCAAGTGGAGCATAGTTCTGCAAGCAGAATTTCGCGCCTTTTCTTTGGACTTTTTCTAGTGTCTTAATGTCTTTCTTGTAGTGTGGGTCCCATGCCTCACAAGCATATTCCAGTTTTGTCCTTACCATTGTTTTGTAAACAGTTTCCCTAACGTGTTTTGGACAATTCCAAAAATTTCTTCATGCCATTCCAAGTAATTTACTGGCTTTACTTGCTGTGTTTGAGACATGCTCCGACAACTTCATTTTGTTATTTAGGGTGATACCCAGGTAAGCGACCGACTCGACTTGCTCCAACTCTGTGTTACAGAAAGAATATTTCCTTTGCGGAGGGTCTTTTTTTGTTGATATGCATAACACTTTACATTTCCCTGGATTGAACTTCATTTGCCATTTCTCTTGCCAGGTTTCCAACTTGCTAAGATCGTCCTGCAATTCATCACTGTTTGAGCTTCCCGAGATTAGGCCGTACAAAAGCGCGTCGTCCGCAAACAATCGAACACTAGAATTCAGTGCATTTGGCAAATCGTTGATGTACGAAAGGAACAATAACGGTCCCAAAACAGTTCCTTGTGGGACGCCTGAGGTTACCGATGTTGGTTTGGCTGCTTCCCCTTCACAAACAACTGTCTGATAACGATCCGTGAGAAATGATTTAAGCCAATTATTCAGGGGCCCTTGTATTCCGTAACTTTGTAATTTTCTCAACAGGCGTTGATGTGGGACTTTGTCGAACGCTTTTTCAAAGTCTAGAATGACAGCATGTACAGTGGAATCGTTGTTAATAGCACTTGAAATATCGTGGATAGTACCAATCAATTGAGTTACAGTCGACCTTTTGGCCCTAAAACCATGCTGTAAATCAGTTAAGATGTTATATCGGTCGAAATATTTCATGATATGGCTATGCACAATATGCTTGAGCACCTTGCTAGCGATACACGTCAACGAAATTGGTCAATAGTTCTTAGGGTCGGATTTAGAGCCTTTCTTAAAAATTGCCGTGACATTTGCATTTTTCCATTTCTTTGGTATGATGCCAATGTCTATAGACTCCTGGAATATCTTTGTAAGTATCGGGGCAATTTCGTTTGCATATTCCTTCATAAACCACGGGGGAATTTCATCTGGTCCAGGTGCTTTATCGGGTTTTAACGCAGATAGTTGGGCAACAACCCCTCGGGTAGTAATAATTGGGGGATTAATACTAGGATTTGAATTTTTGGGTATTTTTGGCATATTACTAATATTTTCATGGGTAAAAACACTCGAGAAATGTTCACTTAAAAGTTCTGATTTATGCTTTCTATCACTTATGGACTCTCCATTAATCTCAAAGTCCGATATACCGACATCATCTTTATTTAATTTCTTAACGTATGACCAAAATCTCTTGGGGCTTTCTTTTATTGACTCTCCAAGAAAATTACTAACATAATTTCCCTAGCAGCTTTCGTTTTGGCCACAAGAAAAAGACAGGCAATTTATCTGAAGATAGCGTTCCAGTTATATTAATTTCAATGGAATAAGATGGATTGGCCGCCATCTTGGTTCTCCAAATTCGTCATTTCTGGTTGCTTCATCAGATGAGCAGTCTAGGTTTATATATGTGGCTAGCTATTGGCCCTATAGCCCAATCTCGTTCCCTGAGCCCACGATTGAGATGGTGTAGACTTCATCTAATCCTCATTATAGTATATGCGCAAGAGAAATATGATGGACAGGGGCGTAGGACGGTATTATAAGTAAATTTATATTGTATTGTTCATTCACATATGTTTTTGGGTTTTGGGGATTAGTTTTAAACGAAACAAACAACATTATATCCAGGTTACCAGGTACAAACTACAAAGTTGGCACCCTCTCCACTCTCCCTAAAGTGCACGCCTTGAGCTCAGCCATATCATTGAAATATTAAACAGTGGCGTAGCCAGCTCGATAATTGGGGGGGAGCACATATTCATATATTCGTGTTCTGCATTATTAATTTCTTTTGAAATCGATTGTTTTTAAGGTCTGTGAACACGAATATATGAATATGTGCCCCCCCCCCCCCAATTATCGATCTGGCTATGCCACTGGAAATATAAACCAAAAATGCTACATTCCGTGCATGGGGAATGGGGGGGGGGGTGGCAGGGGGCCTTGTGTACAACCCCCAGCATAATACAATTATGATACAAGATTGTTTAAACAATAATATAAATCCTAGCTGCATCAATGCCAAATGATGTGCAATAAAGTGCAATGTGATGTAATTGTAAATACCACTCTCCTTTTTAGACTTATGACATCATAGGGGCCCCTGTGAAAGTTTTGCCCTGGGCCCTGCACAACCTCATGCTCTTGGCACCCTGGCTGGCCTAGCTTATTTTGCTCGTGCAAAAATAAAATGGGTATCAATTAATATGTCTGATTTATTAAATGTGTTATGTACTAATTTATATATTTGAATGTAGCAGATGAATTTTGGAACAAAAATTTATATACAATGTTAGACGTAACTGGGAGTAGCTCCAGCTTTAGGCCCTCTAACAGGAAGATACAGAGACCTTACATTAGCCATAGTGACTTCACTTTACATATTTTGTTTATACTTTGTTTTGATTAAATCCATCTGATTGGTTTATTTTTGTCACCTGTTGCCTTTACACCCGCCCCGCTAACTTCGCTCGAAACGTCGACTTTCAGGTAGTAATATAACCAGAGCCGCCGAGAGGGGGGATGGGGGGCACTTTGCCCCAGGCCCCCAGCTCCAAAGGGTCCAACATAGGGTCCTAAAATTTCTTGACTAGAAAAGAGCAGCGAACTTTTAAAAAGTGGAAGAAAAAAAACGAAAGATAAGTAAATTGGGGAGAAAATAGGAAAATATGAGCGGTATTTTGTCCGGACAAATTTTTTAGATTATATCCAGAATTTTTTTCCCAAACCCCCCCCCCCCGTCGACAACAATTTTGGGGAAAATTTTTGTTCCAAGGGGCCCACTTGGAACGTTTTGCCCCGGGCTCTGTGCAACCTCTCGGCGGTACTGATATAACCACTCAGCACTGCACAGCAAGTTCACATTGGTACTAATACCTACACTAGCACAGACAGTTCAAGACTATGCTGTGCTGAGTGGTTGTATTACTAGCTGAAAAAATAAGCAGAAACTCGACGTTTCGAGCGAAGCCCCTTTGTCAAAGTCTTTTTTCAGATAAAAATAATATACCTGGTGTTTCCTGTCATCTCATGTATTTATAACAATAAAAATATTTCGAAGAATAAACAAACAACAATTATTACTTGTACTTACTGCTTGCACTCCTTATCATATTAATTCCTTATCATATTTAAAATTATATTAATATTATACAGCTCACTAGCTCAGTGGCTCCTTGTCAGGCGCCAATCTCGTTCCCCAAGCCCGCAGGGTCGGGGAATGAGATCATCGGTGATCAGGGGCCATAAAGGGCCATATTGAATTTTGTGGCCGTGTCAGAACCATTGAACTAAAAGTAAACTGGAACGACAAGTCAGGGGGGGGATTGAAGGTAGTGCTAGTCCTTTTTTACAAATTTTGTTTTGAAAAATACAATTTTTATATCGACAAATTTTACCCTTTTAATTTCCTTTCACCCTTTCCTTTTTCATTTTAGAGCATACTAAGACAGTTAAACTTTTCACTTATGGACTTACAATACACAAAAGTCGTTCAACTGCTGAAATATGACAGGATCAAAACGAAATTGTCCAAAAACCGCACGAAAATGTTTGGTTTTTCTGAGTTATGAGCCTTTCTAGAAAGAGTTGGGAGACATTATAATACAATATATGTTGAAAAATGTTAGACACATTTGCAAATTTCTTTTCAAGTACTCATGACTTACTTTTAACACTTAAAAAAAGGATTATCAAAGCCACTTTTGCTGCCATATTCAAGTGCTCATATTTGGTCAACAAGAAATGCGATGCCGAAAATAACACCACTTGATAAACATCCATTTACTCATGTTTTAGAAGGAATCAAGGACTAAAAACTCAGGATAAATAACAATACCTGGGGGTCAGGACAAAATAAGTTTTGGGACTGTCAACATGTTTTATAGTATATTTTTTTGAGTTGAAGAGCGAAGTTTCCTTCAGCACGTCCAAACTTTCGTCTTTTTTTCAAAATACGAAAGTAAAACTTCTCACTTTTTGCTGCAGATAGATGTAAAACAGTGGGATCTAATTGGAAAACCAGGTTGAAATCCAAGTCATTGTAAGATTCCCATGGAAAAAGTGTTTTTCTTGCAAATTTGTGCTCAAAAACAAACTTTCGACTGAATTTTCTCACTCCTTGAAACTCTCCCTAGTCCTTCTGGAAGCTGATTTTCCCGCACGTTGGCTTCAACGAATCACAGGCCTTTATCATAGGAGTTATCGTTCCAGTTTACCTATAGTTCAATCGTCAGAACAGGTTGTTCTCACCCTTATTTTAACGATAATCGTTAATTAACCATTTGCCTTATAGTTAACATGCACCGATGGACGTAAACGAATGTATATTCAGTTATGTAAATTTGCAAACGTAAAGAATCTGAATTCTGTTTGGTTACATATAATAATATGTGCAAATGAGACAATATATGCATATTGCTTGCTAAAATTAAATGATGAATTGACTACACTTTATATCATAACAAACGCTTGTCAGCTTTGTTGATCGCTTTATATAGTATTGATCATATATTGGCATTGCATGATATCACTAATTTTACAATAATTCGATTTGTCAGCACTCCTAATTTTCACTATCTTACTACGCTACTGCTGTTACAGTTCGATCATGATTCGCGTGTCGTGTTTGAAATTAGGTGAGCTACGTACGGTTCCCACACTTCGCTGAAAATTAGCCCCCAAAATAAACCCGTTCTGTCGCCACAGAATAAAGATCAGTAACAGAAGGGCCACTCAGCGGTGCAACGTGTGCTTGTTTTTTTATGCAAAAATATGCAGTTTACTTGCCAGAAGGCGGAGCAGCCAGCCAGTACAGCGTGTTTATTGGCCAGAAAATGTCATTGACTGGCTAGGAAAATGGCGGCCAACATGCGTAATGCGACATGCGCGAGTACAGAAACTTCAAAGCTTCTGACGTAACTGGCCCTTCTATATGGATCTTTATTCTATGACAGTAGTCAGACCGGATGATCATGGTCGAATAAATTAAAAATAAGACATTGATAACATTTGAAAGATTTACAAATACGAGGACCTAGGTTTGAACTGATCATGCCGTTCTCCATAGCTATATTCGGTCTGACTGAATTCAGCGCAATATGACAATATCCGTCTCAACGACTGTTTCAACGTCAGTGCAATGACAACGTCAATGCTCAATGACAACGTGCATTTCTCTTCATAATTATAGATTTACAGCCAGGCGAGTCTATAGGCTTTTCCTATTTCATTTTAATGTTCATGCAAAGAACTATCATAAAACAAGTCATGAAATCCCCCGAGGCCGAGAGGTGTAAAATCAAGATGGCAGTAAGAGAGTGAAGGTTTTTTTGTATAATGACGATCTATCTGTTCATCTTTAAAGTAACATCTGAGTTAATACCTTTCAATTTGCTTCGGCTTAGTTAAGAGTGACCTGCCTCGTACATGTTGTAATTTATTGACCCAAGAATGAGCTTCACGTTGTAGAGTTTTATTTATGCAAATTTTGATGTTTACTTTTACGTTCACCTTGCGTTGAAAGCAATTGTGCAAAACAACTACAAGATCAATTTTCGTGCAAATATATTATACCAAACGTTAAACCAATAGGAGCTCGCTATTCTACGGTTGCCAACGAATAGAGTAGCGGCAGCCAATAGGGGACAGTGATTTTAATGATTATTTCGTTTCTTAATGAGGCTATTCGTTCGTTT